GCGATAAAAGTATAAAAATAAAAGGTCTCCAAATTTCATTACATCAGCCGTCATTACATCATGTAATAAGAGTGTTCAAATGATATCAATATAATGTGAGAGTAATAATAATATTTGAACTCACAAAGTCCATAAGAAAAAAATATATACATATTATTATTAATATGTAACGCTTCTAAACAAAATGGAGAAATTAGTGTAATTATTTACGATCCTATTACAAATATAATTATCTATAGTTTGTGATTAGTCACGTCACCTTTCCTCTCGCATTTCCAGTATAATTAAATAGCTCGTATTATTTGCTTATATTATATTGACTACAACAATATTAATTAAAATGATCGATATATAACGAGCAATTGTAATTTTCACGCAATACAGAGGCAGACGCGAGTAGAACGGACACGTGAATAGAGGCATTTATGTATGAAAGATGTACATATAATATGAAGAAGTCGGCGAGTGAGATTCGCAGCAGGCATCGGATTCAAGATCATTCGAGCATGTGTTAAGTTCTACTACTAGACGCGCTCTTTTATAATGGAAATCATACCGCATATCGCAATCGTTCCCGTTTGAAATATCAATAGCATTCGACTCGCGACGATATTTCTTGTGCGTTTCGTTTCTTTGAAATATTATTCTATTCTGCTCTACCTGGCTCCAATATATTTCCAAGATCGCAACCCTTGGCTTCTGATTTCAATCTGTCGTCCATCAACTTCATCCGGTCGATGACATCATTCCTCTGAAACGGATTTGATGTAAATATAGATTAATATACGTGTACATACAATAGAGTAACTCCTATAACTCTACGCTAAAATTTACGCCGCAGAAATAAAAAAAAAAATAGATGAAGTGAAGGTAATTGCAACTACTCTGTTATATTTATGTTATTAATAGTGTATATTAATATTGTTTTGGAATTTCATTTTTTTATGTTAATATTAATGAAATCATTGTGAGTTGAATTGATTTGTCAATGCGATACCACATATTACAATTTATGTAAAATGTGTTTATTATAGGGACTGTAAACGGTTTAGCAATTATTTCGTGACATAAATGTAGAGGGACAGTAAAAATGGAATATAACAAAATACAAATGCTCTGCTTGTTTTCCCATAAATCTAACTGTAAATCACATACCCTTTAAATTTGCAATATCGT